ATATATCCCCCTAGAGTCCCTGGTGCCCTAGAGAAGACATCTGAGACTGCTCTAAGGAGAATATTGGTGACTGTAAGGTGATAATGCCAGAGGTGGTATGTTGGACAGTACATACTAATGTGCAACCCTGGGATACGAGCAAAGAGATGCCAACTCCTATTTTAACCTGAGTTGTTTTAACTTCTGAGATTCTAATTTCTCTATCTGTAAGAACATGATAGTTCAATTGAGAATTTGCTAGAAAATTTGCTTATGTGAAGATGACCATTTCAACCAAACTTAGTAGAAAATTTAACTTTGATTACTTACTAGTAAAAGTTAAACTTTATGAGAATGAGATTATACATGATAGTAATTCACTTTATTTAGAACAGTTTTATAAGAAACCACATATGTATAAGAATAGCAGAGTTATACCAAAAATGTCTAAATACAGCTGAAAAAGATTTACTTCCTAAAATTTTCTTTTATTTCTGGAAAACACATTTATGGGTGAATGCTTCTGAGAAACAAGTTATTTATGTAACAAAATATAAGAAATGACAGATATTAATTAGACAATCACTTTAATATACATTATACAATTTTTTTCATTTGTAATGCTCTTATATTTTTAGCCAACCAATTTAGATAATTTCAAATGACAGGTTTCCAAAAATGCCTTTTTAAGATACTCCTCCTTAATTTAAATTTTCATAAATTAAAGGGCAATACGACTTATTGGGTGGGCTCTGAAAACAGACAACCCTGGCTTGCTGGGTAGCTATCTCATATAGCTCTGAGCCTCTGCTTCTTCATCTGTTAAAGAGAATAAAGCTACCTTACAGAAGTGTTATTTATAAAGTAGACTCTTGAAGATGACAGAGTAGAAGAGCCGACAATCTGTCTCTAACTTAGATAATAACTGCAGTAGCGGAATCAGTCTGATGTAATATATTCTAGAACTCTGGATTTATTGAAGTCTTACAACTTTATTGCCTAAAAAAATGCTAACAATTATCTGAGTCGTCACAGTTGTAACCTTTGCTGGAAAAAGGGCTTGCTTCAATGTTGCTGAAGGATGGGGCAGCTGTGGAGTTTCTTAAAGTAGGACAACAATGAAATTCGCCACATTGAATGACTCTTCCTTTCTTCAAAGATTTCTCTGACATTTACCCACAGTAAAACTTCTTTCAAAACTGAAGTCAATCCCCTTGATTCCTCCTACTGCTTTATCAATTACGTTTATGTCCTATTCTACATGCTTTGTCATTTCAACAATACTCACGTCATCTTCATCAAGAGCAGATTCTATCTCAAGAAACCACTTTCTTTTCTCATCCTTAAGCAGCAACCCAAACCCTCATCCACTCAAGCGTCAGCATGAGAATGCAGCAATTCAGTCATGTCTTGGGGTCCTCTTCCAATTCCATTTCTCTTGCTATTTCCACCATAGCTGCAGTTCCTATTGCCTTGAAGCCTTTAACCTCTCAAAGTCATCCATGAAGGCTGAATCAACTTCTTCCAGACTATTGTTCACATTGGTATTTTTACCTCTTCCCATGAATCACAAATGTTACAGTTTGGCAAAATGTGTTAATGGTGAATCCTTTCCAAAAGGCTTTCAATTTACTTAGCCTAGATCCATCAGAGGAATCACTCTATTAGGCAGATATACCAGATATAGCCCTACAAAATGTATTTCTTAAAAAATACGACTTGAAAGTCAAAATGACTCCTTAATCCATGGATTAAGAATGGATATTTTATTAACAGATACAAAACAACTTAATCTTCCTTGTGCATCTTCATCAGAACTCTGGATGACCAAGTGCATTGTCTCTGAGCAGTAACATTTTTTGAAAGGAACCTTTCCCCTGCACAGGCAGAGCAGACTTGGCATCATTCATAAGGGCTTTAGGATTTTCAAATGGTGAATGACCACTGGGTTTAACTTAAAGTTGCCAGATGCATTAGCCCCTAACAAGACGTAAATAAAGACGCAGGAGATACCTTGTGTTGTTTAAAGTAATTCTGACAGAATGTGTTCAGCAGCTCCTTTAGGAAATGAGGATATAATCACTAATTGCCTTCACTCAAAATAAAAAATTCTGGGACAAGAAGAAAGGCATAATTCAATACCCTATTATGTGTGAAGCTTTGAAGCCAGGCATTCACTTTTCCTCTCTAGCTACTAAAGTCCTAGATGACATCTCCTGCCAACATAAGGCTAACATCTGTTGTTTAGTGTAGCTCCCCTTCATGAATGACATCTTCTGGACAACTCGCTGCAGCTTCTACAGCAGCATGTGCTGCTTCATCTTCCACTCTTACACTATAGAGACAGCCTTTTTCTTTAAACCTCTATGAACCAACCTCTGCTAGCTTCAAACTTTTCTTCTATAGCTTCCTCACCTCCCTCAGCCCTTCCTGAATTGAAGAGAGTTGCTCTGAATTAGACTTTGGTTTAGGGGAATACCCTGGCTAGTGAGATCTTATTCAGAGTACTAAAATTTTCTCCAAATCACCAATAAGGCTATTTTACTTTCTTTCCAAAGTCACGTGTTCACCACAGTAGCACCTTCCCTTTGCATTCCCAGTCTGGCTAACTCTATGATGTAAGAGGATACCTTTTGGCCTCTATCAACTTTTGAAACGCCTTCCTCACTGCTTTATAAAGCGGACTCTGGGGAGATGTCTAAGCTCACCTTTGAAATTGGGAGACATGATTCTTCCTCTACATTTAACACTCAGAGGCCATTGCAGAATTATTAATTAACTTAATTTCAATTTACGTCTCGGGGATAGGGAGGCCTGAGGAGGAGGAAAGAAATGGGGAGTGGCTATCAGTGGAGCAGGCAGAACATACACAGTACTTATAAGCTTGTCATCTCATGTGGGCGCAGTTTGTGGCATCCCAAAACAATAGAGGAGTAACATCAAAGATCACTAATTATTGAACATCATAACAGATGTAAAGTAACAAAGAGGTTTAAAGTATTGCGAGAATAACCAAAATGTGACACAGACATGAAACAAGCACAGGCTATTGGAAAAACAGCACTGATAGACTTGCTTGATACAGGATTGCCATAAATCTTCAATCTGTAAAAACTCACTGTCTCTGAAGCACAAGAAAGCCAAACACAATAAACTAGTGTACTTGCATAGTAAAAAATCCACTGATAGGCTCGGCGCCCATAGCTCAGCGAGTAGGGCACCAGCCACATATACTGAGGCTGGCAGGTTTGAGCCTGGTCTAGGCTAGCTAAACAACAATGGCAGCTGCAACGAAAAAATAGCCGGGCATTGTGGTGGGCGTCTGTAGCTCTAGCTACTCGGGAGGCTGAGGCACAAGAATCACTTAAGCCCAAGAATTTGAGATTGCTGTGAGCTGTGACACCATGGCACTCTACCAAGGGTGGCATAGTGAGAATGTCTAAAACAAAAATCTACTGAATAGTAAGAATTAGGCATAGGGCTATACATTAGCTACTTGAGAAATAAACTTTTAGAAGATTTTTTCATTCTCTTTTAATTAGTAGCTGACTTTATAATAAAAATGTAATTTAAGTAATTACTACTTTTTTTTTTTTTGAGACAGAGTCTTATTACATTGCCCTTGGTAGAGTGCCAGGGCACCACAGCTCACAGCAATCTCAAACTCTTGGGCTTAAGCAATTCTCTTGCCTCAGCCTCCGTAGTAGGTGGGACTACAGGTGCCCGCTACAGCACCTGACTATTTTTTGGTTGCAGTTGTCATTGTTGTTTAGCTGGCCAGGCTGGGTTCGATCCTGCCAGCTTGGGGGTATGTGGCCGATGCCCTACCCACTGAGCTATGGGTGCTGCCAAATTACTACTTTTTTAAATAAAAAATTTTAATTATGCATTTGAAATCATAGAAGTCTCTTAAAGTTGTTTCTGAGGTTATTTAAAATTTTATTTTATAAAGTCTTTATATTTCAGCTATTGAAATGCTTTTTTTTTTTTTTTTGACAGTCTTATTCTGTCAACTGCCATAGCGTCATGATAGCTCACTGCAACTTCAGACTCCTGGGCTCAAGCAATCCTTGCTTCTCCTGCTTCAGCCTCCTGAGTAGCTGGGACTATAGATGGGCGCCATCACACCCTGCTAATTTTTTCTATTTTTAGGAAAGAATGAATCTCACTCTTACTTAAGCTGGTCTCAAATTCCTATGCTCAAGTAATCCTCCTGCCTTGGTCTCCCAGAGTGCTACAATTACAAGTGTGAGCCACCATGCCCAGAATGGAATGTATGATTAATTAACCCTCTCGAGAGATTCTCATTTAACTTTATCTTCTTCTCTTAAACATATACACAACATCAACACTACTACCTGCTTGTCCAAATAGCCAGAGCTGGTTTATATTTAATCAAGTAGAAACTACTGTGTGGAATCTAGATATTTCCTCTATGACACTTACATTGACATTCACTCATTTTATTAATATGTATGTATAATCTTTTTAAAAAGTACATAACTTAGGTAATTCCATATAAATTACCTATTTTCTGTTTATGATAAATTACTTTATTTTAGATTTGAAAAAGACTTAGGTAAGGATCCAAACATCTATAGTAGCAGCACAAAAAATGATCAGAGCAAGAGCAATCGTTTAATTATTTATTCAATACCTTTTTTTTTTTTTTTTGCAGTTTTTGGCTGGGGCCGAGTTTGAACCTGCCACCTCTGGTATATGGGGCTGGCGCCCTACTCCTTTGAGCCACAGGCGTCACCCATATTCAATACCTTTAATTAAAAAGTATCATGCAAAATGCTTTTCTCCAAACACCTTAGGATTTTACATCCAATTTACGAATCTGTGCCAACAACAAAAATAGGAAACTTACCTGCTAATACCTCCTGTTTGTAGCATATATGACTAAAAGGAACAGTCCAAAACCTCATTGGAAACTCTTATTCTCCCACCTAATCTTGTTTTAGGTTCTCTAATGTACCTAAAACAAGAACATTATATATTTTAATTTTTACACTTACCTGATACAAATAATCTTCAAATACAAAATAATAATCATCATTGCTTGCTGTCAACTTCACATCCTATAATTAAAAGTAGAGAGTACCGAAATGAACCCAAATGAATCTGTCTGTAGTACTAAAGCATATAGACAATGTTTAGAAATAATATAGCATGAATTGATTACTTTATGAACTTTCTAATTAGACTTTATCACTGCTATATATTTATTTGAGTAATGTATGTGACATATTAACTTTAATTTCCACAGACTTTTTAAGGTTTCATTAGTAAGTCTTTATTATTTATTTCAATTTTATATCCTTTTAATCTAATATTAAAGTATCTTTAAGCTGGAAAAGAAAAGCAGATGCATCTGGAACCATAATAATCTCCTCTAAATTATTGTTTCAATTTAAATATTCAAGTTCACATTTTTTATCATTCCCTCAAAACAATATCCTTCATGCCTTTGTGATTATTCACTTGCAAGTCACCACTTGGTACTGGAAGGCCAGTAACACCATATTTTCTGCACCATGAACTCATCTTTCAAAGGCCAGTTGATTGACTTCCCCTGATGTAGTATTAGCTCCTTCTTTTAAATAGACTTCTAACCTCACTTTCTGACCTGAGACTACCTTAAAGATTTCTACTGAATCCTAAAGACTTTGGGTTCTTTGCACCCAATGTCAAATTTTTTTTTATATACTTAGTACCAGCACAGTGCCTAACATCTTCTAAGTACCAAATAAGTATCTGAAGAATGCATAAAAATAAAAATGATAAAATCATTAATAGAAATTATAGTTTCCTATGATGCACTATATCACTATGTAGGTATCTTTCCCCAATAACAAATGAACAAAAACACAGAAAAATAAAGCCAAAATATTTGTGTTTCTCCCATGGTGTCTCCAAACAGTTTGCATGGTGAGTTAGAACTTGACATTCCAATAGATTTAGTTAAGATTTGAAATCCAGTTCTACTACTTCTAGTTGTAGATAGTTGTATGATGTTAGCCAGTAACTCTTAGCCTAGGTCTTCATATTTGTAAATGGGGATACTACTACCCCTCTTCCAAAAGTATGGGCAAATGTCTATGATACTATCAGATACAGAATAGGCATCTGAAAAACTATTTTTAAATAGTTTGACCAAAAGCCCCTTTACTTACAGCAGTCTTCATCTATTTATAAGTAAATATAGATTCTAAATACTACTTGTATCAAAAAACTCCAAACCTAAAGGACACCATACTTTTGGACCCAATATATTACACAATCAATTCAACAAATACTGATTGGATGGGATGAAGGATACCATATTCACAAAACATCTACAATCTCACTGGGAAGAAAACACACTTAGTAAGAACACAGGAAAAATTACAAAGAAATGTTACAGAAGTCCATAATAATATGGCTCAAACAGTCTACAAAAGTCACTGAGGCTATTGAGCAAAGTAGCAATCTGGGGAGGATGAAATGAGCCGTAGACAACTGTAGAGGTCGCGAATGTGTGCGTAAGTCTGACAGAACTTAATGACACAGATTAAGGGGAAAGAGAGAACCAGCCTTCTAAGTCAGAAGACAACACAGGCAAAGGGCGAGATTATGCATTTCCAACAGGGGTGATATTGCCTCTATGGGCATGAAAACTGGTTTTGGGGGGGCCAAAAAATTTTTACATATTATAATGGTATGTGGATCTCTAAATCTCTGCTATTTAATTTTTAGATAAAAATAAATTTTCTCTTCAGGGGTGTGATAAAGAAAGATTGAAAAGTACTGGTATAAACTGTCAGATCACAGTAAATGGTAGAAAAATGCGGAAGGTGTGGCTACAGGGCAAGTTTGTGAAAGAGAAAACAACAACCCAGCTCAGGGAGAACCTTTGATTCCTCCTCAGGAGTATTTTCAGCTGCTTCCTCTTTTTCCAAAAGACATTTGCACTAGAATGTTTACTGCAGCTCAATTCATAATTGCCAAGTTGTGGAAGCAACCTAAGTACCCATCAACCCATGAATGGATCAGCAAACTGTTGTATATGTAAACCATGGAATACGATTCCACCATTAAAAAAGATGGAGACTTTACAACTTTTACATTTACCTGGATGGAGCTGAAATATATTCTTCTTAGTAAAGTATTGCAAGAATGAAAAAATAAGTATCCAATGTACTTCATACTACAATGAAATCAATATATAAACAACTGCATGTTCCTAAGAACAATAAAACATCATTATAGTCCAGTTAGGGGGTAGAGGGAAGCGGGAGCAGGGAGAGGGGAGGACGTATGGCAGAAGGAGGGAGGGCAGGAGGCGGAATCTCACCTAATGTGCACCTGTGAGGGTGTACAACACACCCCCTGGGTGAGGGGCTCTTCGAAAATGGAACTTTACCCTGGAAGTGAGAACAATGTAACCTAAATATTGTACCCTCATTATTAATGTGAATGAAGTTTAAAAAAAAAGAACCATCTGTTAATTTGGGTTGGAGAGGGGGTTGGTGATATTCTATATTTAGTATTGACTTACTCTGTCCATCCCTTTAACTTTTAGCTAAAGCAGCAGTTCTCAACCTGTGGGCCGCAACCCCTTTGTTAACAATGAAAATTCATCGCAGCATTTAGAAGGTTGAGAACCACTGAGCTAAAATCATTCTACCTCATTTTCAGTTCATTTTAAAACAATTCTTTGCTATAGGGAACTATAATGAAATTTTAAATATATTTTTAAAAAATGTTCATTCTCTTAAGGGTTGACTTTACTAGGGTCTGTAGTTGTTCCAACAAGCTCAGCAGAGCCCAGCCCAAGCCCCAAACACCTACACAGATATCTTCCTAAAGACATTCATGTACACAGGATTGAAGCTATCAAAACGGAACACTCAATTCCTCAGGTACAAGCTGTGTACTTGTCTTCTGGAAACAGATTTTCTTTACTGACTCAAACTGAAATTCCTGTTGGCAACAAAGAGAATTCTTCTCTGCTTTCCGGAACTTTTTCACTTGGGAGTTTCCTCTGATTTGAATAGAAAAGAGGTTAAAGGTCTTACAGGCCAAAAGATCTCTTATGCTGTTGCCAAAATCATCCAATGAGCATAATTTGACCTCAAAGTTTGTAGGACTACCTGTGTCCTAAATCTAGTGTAAAACCTCTGTGAGATTCAAGAGTTTTCATTAAAGGACTGTATCCCTTAAATTTTCATTTCTGTTTACTGTTCAGAGTATAGTGGTTAAGAGTGTGGTTCTGAAATCAGATTACTTAGGGACAAGACTTAAAATGTGAATTTAAACAAATTTCTTTCATCTTTCCTTACATTAGTTCCCTCATCTATAAAATACCAAAAGAACAGTACTTTATGTTTTGCTATAATATGTGCCCATATGTGGTTTGTAAAAAGAGGAATGTCGTCAGTGTAACATGGCAATTGTATTGGTTCAGATGGAGTTTTTCTTAAACAAGGCAGCCACAGCAGTGAGTAGAATTACAGCCTTCAGCAGGAAGAGAAAAGCCTTCAGCTCAGCTGCTGCACAAGCATGAGCCTTTATAACTGCATTTTAAGAAAATTAAAAATGGACGTTGGCCCTGGAGCTCCCTCCCCAGAGAGGAAGCCTCCCAGCCTGGCGCACTTCTCAGCTACTGCACTTTCTGTGCTCACCTCAACAGCAGCACAGGGGCCAGAGCACCACTTCCATTTGCATTATTTTAGCACTTCTATTTTATTATTTTTGTACATTTTTAATGACTCCTGCCAGAGCAGCCTGTCTCCTAAGCTACCAATTATTGTTTTTATTAGTATTCCGGTTACAAATTGTGGAAGCCTTGAGTGGGCCTACTCCAACCCTTTTTTCCTCACAAACTCTGTTATTGTGTGCATGATTTTATAGAATGTGAGGGGTTTTTTCCCCAGAAAAAAATGCATTTATCATTCATACCCTAACTCCTGGTATCTGCTACTCTTAGCTAATTGTCAAGATTAAATAGCGTCTATGTACAGGATTTGGTACACCATGGCACACAGAAAGCAGTCATCAAACGTTAGCAGTAGTTATTGCTACCCTTAGTGATATGCTACTCATACAAATTTTCAGGTCCTCAATGTATTATATTCTTTCCCCCATCTCTGAGACATACAATAATATGCCCTTCTCCTCTATCTTTTAAATTTTAAATTAAAAATACAAGTCTTGGGTGGCACCCATAGTTCAGTGGGTAGGGTGCCAGACACATATACCCAGGCTGGCAGGTTCAAACTCGGCCTGGGCCTGCTAAACAACAATGGCAGCTGCAACAAAAAAATAGCTGGACGCTGTGATGGGCGCCTGTAGGCCCAGCTACTTGGGAGGCTGGGGCAAGAGAATCACTTAAGCCCAAGAGTGTGAGGTTGCTATGAGCTGTGACACCACAGTACTCTACCAAGGGCGACATAGTGAAACTCTGTCTAAAAAAAAAAAAAAAAAAATCCAAGTCTTTTAAATTGCCTAACATTAATTCAGAATAAGTGATTTCTTATGCCATGCTTAAAACATCTCCACTTAGATTTTCAACTTGATTATCAGATTCTTGAAGACAAAACCTCGGTGTACCCATATCATAAAAGCTGGGATATACTTTGCCATGTCCATAAACTAAAAGAAATTAAACTAAAAACAACTTCAATATATTAACAAGTAGGCTGTACAGAATCATGACATAAATAATATTATAGTTTGATTTTCTTTCCAGTTGCATTTTTATTTGGTTTTTGTGGAAAACTTGAGTTTACAGTGACAAGAGGTGCTTTTTCTCCTAATCATAACAGGGGAGGACTAGGAAAGGATCATGAGGACAGCTGCAACGGGAAAGAAGACAACACCAAATGCAAACTACAAATTGTGAAGTCCAACCTTAACTTTATAGGCGTAAATTTAATGATCGCTTAAAATTATTTTTCAAGGTTAATATGTATCATTGCGCATACTGCAGGCCCTACATACTGAATTCCCTCAATTCTTAATATTAATGAAATGCAAAGACCGCGCTTACTTGTACTTACTTTATAAATTAGACTGTCCACCAAAAGGTCATGTTGTATCACATTGGTCTTGAGCTGCTCATAATACAAGATATCCTAAGTTTCAAAGTAAAACACACAAAAAATTTAAAGGTTAATCATAAAGGCTATCATATTTATAAAATCAGTCTCAAACTTTAATAACTAATCATCATTAATAGTATTATAAACCCTAAGAGAGCAAGAATTCAGTTTTATTCACTACTATATCCTCCATCTGCTATTGAGTAGATGTTTAATAAATGTACCTATTCCCATCACTTAGGATGAATCTCTGGTGGAGATTAAGTCAAATTAACTAAATTTGCTATTACAGTCAATTTGCTATATTAACTATAATATAACTTTAACAGCAAATACAGTATTTAGTAAGTACTTACAGGCACAAGGCACTGTTTTACCTACTTTATATGAGTTAACTCATTTTAATCCCATGCCAACAAAATGAAATAGGTCAGTGATTATTATTTCCATTTACATATGAGAAACTGAGACCCAGAGAGAAAAGTAACTTGCTACCCTTAAGGCCATAAAGCTAATAAAATTTGATTCCAGGAAACTTGTCCCTATTACCTAATACAAAACCCCAGAAGGATTACACTCTACTGTCTTTCTAATATCTAAATTATTATAAAATAAAAAGTTTAAGCACAATCAATGAACTCTGGTAGTAAAAGCAATCATAGAGCATATAAAAGAAGTCAGCTTTTGATATTAGAATATGGTCCCATAATACTATAAAATCTGATTAACTGCAGATAAGGCTAATGTTTAATTGAACAGATAGTAAGAAATGGAAGGCAGAGGAAATGAAAAGGAGAGAACAAGTCAGAGAAGTAAGAAGGGGACGAGGGAGAGAGCCAATGAACGAGGAGGACTTGAGACTGTAACCAGGGTAAGCGTCAGCTTCGTAGTTGGTCAGGGCATCAAGGATGAAGGTAGGGACCAACTGGGCAGTAGCTGTGCGGAAACAAGCTGACCCTTGTATTCCTCTGAATCCTTCCTTTCATCTCCCAAGCACATTAGCCCTGATCCCTGCTATTTAAAGCCTGCTTGGCTCCACAGCACACACCAATCTGTGAATCTTGGTGAAGACATTCCTTTAAACAAGTAAAAGTTGTAGGACAGGTCATCTGGGACAAGGAGGAATATTTATCATGTGAATGAAAACAAAATCTCAAGCTCCCCACTGAATGAATGGACTTCCTCTTGCTCAAGGGGACTCCGGAAAAACCTTAATCCCAAGTTGCCAGCCATGAGAAGGGAGTTCAAACATACCTAGTTATGCTCTGTCCCTTTCAGAGTTGCTCTTTGGGGCAATAAGATAGTAAATCCTTAACAGGACTAAGGCCACGCAAAACAAATCTGACACCACACCTCCAGGCCATCAATTTACTTAACAGATCACTTGAGTTTTGCTAAATGTCTTACCGCTTGTCTCTGATAACAGACATCCTTATATTAAGTTAAAACATTCCAAGCCTTTTTAGACAAAAGGCTACATTTTTTTTGACTACAAGTCAAAGACTCTTTAACCCATCTATAGCCTGTAAGCTCCTCCCTACCATGTCTGGCCTTTTGGGGCCAAACTAATGTACTCCTTCCACATACGATCTTAGGTGTAATCTCTGGCTCCATGAATGTATGAAACCAAACTGTAACTTGGCTACTGCAGGCACATTTTCTCAGAACCTCTTGAAAACACATCTTCTAGGCTGCCAGTGACACTTAGAATTAACATCTTTAAATTATTTTACAGAGTTTGTGTTTTTTCTGTTATTGACTATATATTGCTTCCTTGGCAAGATGGAATCTGATACTCTGTTTCCTGATGTATGATTTCTTAATTATGAAAGACGTTTAATACATAGTTCTCTGGTTTGAGTCAAAGTGCTCTTTGCCTGAAGATAATCTGGGTATTTACTGGCTATTTTCAGTCAATTAATTAAAAAAAAAAAACACCTTAATTAGTTCTCATTAATGTTTTAATTTTTTAACTAAAGCAAAATTATTTTACCATTTCATTCACCTTCCATTGTATCTACTGAATCTCTCTGGCTGGAATGAAGAAGCTAAAGAATCTAGAGCTTTGCGTTTTTAAAAATGTAAGTTTAAAATTATAAACTAATATATGACCTTTAAAATAAGTAAAACAATCTAAAGCAAAATAAAGAAAAAGGCAAGTATCTTGTCTCCTTCCACTCCTGAAGTAACCAGCATTTTTGTGTTTTGTATTGTATTTGTAATGTTAGTTTTAACTTAGGCAAGAAGTAATGGTATTGGAAAATGGAGTAGTAGTATACATGGAGTAGAAATAGAGAAATAGTTGGATTTGAAATATATTTAGGAGTTAAATGAAGACGGAATTATTGAGTAAAACATGTATAACATGAGACACAGGTGGAAAGTTAGAAATGACTCAGGTTTGAAATGGCTGGGGCACCTTGTTGGACAGTGGTATTGAAAAAGGAATTTAGGCTCGGC